GTGGGAACGGAGCAACATAGGGTGAGAGCGCGGGACAGGGGAGACAGGACGAGCACGAGAGGGGCGGCGAGACCAGACGTGTGAGGGCGGCGTCGGGTCAGGAGACAGAGGAGGGGACACAGGAGGGGAACGAGGGGGAAGACGAGCCGGGGACGAGTCTGGCAGAGGGAACACGGGGCCGTAGACGGGAAGAGGGGGAGACGGCAGGAGAGGAACAGGCGCAGGGTCAGGAGACGGAAGGCCGAGCAGACGGAGGGCGGACACAGGCGGGGACTGCTGCTGCGGCGACACAACACCAACACCAGGGCCACAAGCTGCGCGACGGCTACCTCCCGAACCCTCCACACCTGCACCCCCAGAAGGGACACCCCCAGAGTCCACAAACGGCGGCAGCGACGACAGCGGCGGCGGCGGCGGCGGCTGCAGCGACGGCTGCGACGGCGGCGGCGGCGGAGACGACGGCTGCAACGGCGGCGGCGGTGGAGACGACGGCTGCAGCAGCTGCGGCGACGGCGGCTGCGGAGGCGGTGGAGGAGGAGACACCGGGGGAGGGACAGACGGCGAGGACTGCGCCGGAGGACTACCAGAGTCAGAAGACTCGTTGACCGGGACGACCGACGGGAGGGGGGTGACGTGAGACACACCAGAGGGGGCCGGACGGGGGGGCGGGGGGGGGGAGGGGCAGGGACCACCAGGGAGGGAGGAACCAGGAAAAGGGGGGGAGTAACCGGGGGACCACGGTGGGGAAAGCGGCGGTAGAAGGAGACGGACTCGTCAAAGGTGACGTCGCGAGAGTGAAAGAAGCGGTGAGACGGCGGGTGGTAGAAGTGCCAGTCGGACGCGTCAAGGGGGAAACCGAGGAAGACGCAGGGGAGGGTGCGGGCAGTGAGCTTGTCCGTGCCAGAGGCACGAACGTGAGCAAGGCAGCCCCAGACGCGGAACGCAGACGCGTCACCAGGGGACCCGGTCCACAGAAGGGTCGGCGAAACCTGCGGCCGCTGGGGGTGCGGCCACAGGTTAAGCTGGTGAGCGGCGTAGCGCACGGCGAACAGCCACAGAAAATGGGGTGCACCGGCGTGGATCATGGAGGTGCGAGCCACCTCCATGACCAAACCGATGCGTCGCTCAGCGACCCCATTCTGCTGCGGGGAGTCCGGCAGGGTAAACGTCTGGGTGATGCCCTCCGCACGACAGAAGCGACCAAGGACACCTGAGGCAAACTCGCCACCCCTGTCGGAGTGAAGGCGCAAGGCAGGGAGACCGCGGTGGACACGAGCAGAGACAAGCCAGGGGATGAGAACGTCAGGCACGTCGGCCTTCCGCTCCAGGGGGAAGACGGTGGTGTAGCGCGTGAAGTCGTCGACAAGCACTAGGAAGAAGCGCTCGCGACGCGGCCCATGGACCGGGGCTGGGCCCCAGACGTCCATGTGCAGAGTCTGCAGTGGTGCGGTGGTAGGGGGAAAAGAGGAGGAGTGAGGGGCACGGCGGAGCCGGCCCTCGACACAAGGCGTGCACGGTGGGGCGGGGGAGGAGGGAAACTCGGGGAACGAACCGGGGAGACCAAGGACGAGACCGTGCTGGGACATGTGACGCAGACGTGGGAGTGCAGGGTGACCAAGGCGGTGGTGCCAAAGGAGAGTCGGGTGAGTGAGGGACCGACAGGAGCACGCGGCTGCAACCTGGGTGGACGCAACTACCGGGGGGGAAGACCCAGCCGGGGACGGCGCGGTGTCAAGTGTGAACAGGCCGGACACCGGGTCCCGGGGGAAAGTGGTAAGGGGGCACCAGTGGCGGCCTCGGTACAGACAGCATACCGCTCGTGACCAGGGAACGTAGTGGTGACGCCAAGGTCCTGGAGGCAGCCGACACCAACTAGGTTCCTGGAGAACGAGGGGATATGCAGACCTGTGAGAGTGCCCGAAGGAACCGCCGGACAGGGAAGGGAGGTGGAACTGCGGGCAACGACGGGACCACCGGAGGGGTCAGCAAGAGTAACTGCAGCGGGAGCAGGCAGCGGCGTCAGCGTCGTGGAGTCGCGGAAGAAACGCCGGGAGGCGCCAGAGTCCAAGGTGAAGGAAAGCGCAGCAGTCGCGCGAGGCAGCAGTGAAGCGGTGGAAGCACCAAGGCTAAGCAAAGCAGGAGATCCTACGCCTGACGCAGCAGGGGAGTCTACGCTAGGCACCGCTACACTAGGCAACACGGGGTAATAAGAGGGAAGCACACTAGAGTCATCAGCATACATCACATGCAAGGCCGCTACAATGGCATCCATGTCCAAGTCAAAAATCCTAACGCTACGCCTAAGCAAGCTGTGCCAGTCCGGGAGGTCAGGCGCCGGGCCAAAGCGCTGGCGGAACAGGTCGTCCAGGCGACGAAAACAGCGAGGAGTAGAATGACCGATCTTACCGCAAACGAAGCCGCGGCGAGGACCGGTCTGGATCTGGTACTGACAGGGCCCGCCTCCAGAACCACCACCCGGTGCACCACCACGCGCACGACCACCACCAGCTCCAGGCCACCCAGGTGGGAGAGTACTCGCCTGCCTCGTCTGCGGCGGCTGCTGCGGCTGCTGCGAAGGCTGCGGCTGCGGCGACTGCTGCTGCTGCGGCTGCTGCAACTGTGGAGGCAGCGGGGCAGCTGGACCGGGCAGGGTCCCCACGTCCGCACTGGCACCGGACGACCCGCCTCCACCACTACCCCCACCCGCACCCCCGCCGCCTCCGCCGCTCCCAACCTTGGGGCGGCGGCCCTTCGCCGAGCGGGACTGCACTGCTGCAGCAGTCTCAGCCACAGCGACAGAGCCGTCGGAGAAGGTACACTGAGCGGGGGCACAACCCTGAAAGATAGGGACCGGTACTGTACCGCTCGCCAGGGCTATGGAGCGGTGACGAGTCTCTATGGCAGTCAGGGTGTCAACAAAGTCGGTGAGGGTGAGAGCAGCAGGGTGGATGCTAAGGAACTGGTCGCGGGCGGCGGCAAGGCGGTCAGGTAGGCGGGTGGCAAGGAGGTAGAGGGTAGAGGTCATGGGAGGCTGGTGGACTCTAAGCTGAGCATCAGTGCAGGCAGCGCGCCAGGCCTCATCTATCGAGCGCAGGTGGGCAGCGAGGTCAGAGACAGTGGGGAAAGACGCCAGGTCAGGAAAGAGCAGGGGAAGGATCAGGCGACCCACTGAGGCAGCAGGAGGGGTAGAATAGCGCTTGATGACAGCATCGAGGTAGGCCTGGGCGGTAGGAATGGTTCTAAAGCGAGGGCGCTCAGTGGGGGGGAGGGCATTGCTAATGGCGAGCTGAGCAAGGGCATCGCGGGAAAGCCAGACAGAGCGGGCAAGGGCAGCAGCGGCAGTGGACTCGCGCTCAGCGGGCGTGGGATCAGCGGGCAGCACAGCAGGGGGGTCAGGGCAGGGGAGCATACCGTCTAGGTGTGCAGAAAGCGGGTGGCCGTCCTGCCGCTGGCCAGTGAGGTGGCGGCGAAGGTCAGCCAACCACGCCTCGAACTCCAGAGGCTGACCCTCAACATCAAAACGAAGCTCAGCAGCCATGAGGGGCAGTGGAGGACAGTGCAGTGCGGTGCAGTGCGATGCAGTGCGGTGCAGTGCGGTCCAGTGCGGTGCAGTGCGATGCAGTGCGGTGCAGTGCGGTCCAGTGCGGTGCAGTGCGGTCAGTGCGATCCAGTGAGGTGCAATGCGATGCAAGGCGGGGCAGGAAAGTGCAGGAGGGTGCAAAGTGGTGCGGGGAACGGGGGACAGTACCAGGAAGTATGGAGGGCCGGGGCAGGTGCGTCGGGGCCGGGCAGGCACGACAAGGCCGGGCGGCGGCGACGGGGCCGGGCGGCTGAGACGGGGCCGGGCGGCGGCGACGTGGCCGGGCGGCTGCGACGGGGCCGGGCGGCTGCGACGGGGCCGGGCGGCTGCGACGGGGCCGGGCGGCAGGGACGAGGCCGGGCCGGACACAGCAGGGCCGGGCAGGGGCGACGGGGCCGGGCGGCTGCGACGTGGCCGGGCGGCTGCGACGTGGCCGGGCGGCTGCGACGTGGCCGGGCGGCTGCGACGTGGCCGGGCGGCTGCGACAGGGCCGGGCGGCTGCGACGGGGCCGGGCGGCGGCGACGGGGCCGGGCGGCAGGGACGGGGCCCGGGCAGGCCACAGCAGGGCCGGGCAGGGGCGACGGGGCCGGGCGGGCGAGCAGGGGCCGGGCAGGTGCGACAGGGGCCGGGCAGCCGCGACAGGGGCCGGGCGGGCGCCACGCGGCCGATAGGCCGCGACGGGGCCGAGCAGGGGCGACGGGGCCGAGCAGGGGCGACGGGGCCGAGCAGGGGCGACGGGGCCGAGCAGGGGCGACGGGGCCGAGCAGGGGCGACGGGGATGGGTAGGGGCGCGACGGGGCCTGGAGGGGCGTTACCAAGCCCAGGTAGGGGCGCGACAGGGCCTGGGGGGAGCGCAATGGGGCCCAGGAGGGGCGCTACGGGGCCTGGGAGGAGCGCGACTAGGCTAGGGAGGGGCGCGACGGGGCCTGGGAGGAGCGCAATGGGGCCCAGGAGGGGCGCTACGGGGCCTGGGAGGAGCGCGACGGGGCCCTGGAGGGGCGCTACCAGGCCCTGGAAGGGGCGCGACGGGGCCTGGAGGGGCGCTACGAAGCCCTGAAAGGGGCGCGACGGGGCCTGGAGGGGCGCTACGAAGCCCTGGAAGGGGCGCGACGGGGCCTGGGAGGAGCGCAATGGGGCCCAGGAGGGGCGCTACGAGGCCTGGGAGGAGCGCGACGGGGCCCAGAAAGGGGCGCAACGGGGCCCAGGAAGGGGCGCGACGGGGCTAGGGAGGGTCGCGACGGGGCTAGGGAGGGTCGCGACGGGGCTAGGAGCACGACGGGGCCCAGCTAGGGGGCGAGCGGAAGCGTGAGGGGGGGGGGGGGGGGGATCCTACCTACGCGTGATACCATAACAAACAGTGAAATTGATGAATAGAGAGAGAGAGTACACAAACATATACCTAAATGTTGTACTCTCTAGAAGATAACCCTATACAGTCTATACAAGCATGATAACTAAACATGTTTGACATCATGCACTACCCTAATTACAAAATCATACCGACATGAATACTAGAATAGTCTTGTTGAGTATTCGTAACTAGTGGTGACTCTGTACGGCTTGCAAAACAAGAATCCCGACCTGGTTTGTATTTAACCTCATCATAAATCAAGGAAACACAGAAAAATGCTCTACCGGATACAATGAGCTTGCATCCTTCTGATTGTACACGTGTCATTGCAATTCAACATACACCTGCATGAGAGGGTGAGAGGTGGAAAGGGTATGCATGGAGATAAGGCGCATCTGCAGGCTTGTGCTAGTGTATTAAATTTCTTTGTATGACACATGTGAGAAATGCATGTGATGTAAGGCATGTGATGTAAGGCATGTGACATAAGGCATGTGACATAAGGCACGTGACATAAGGCATGTGACATAAGGCATGTCACATAAGGCATGTGACATAAGGCATGTGACATGCTCATCTCCCATGCGGAAGTGCACGTGAAAGTAAGTACCTCAGTCGGAGTGACTGTGTGAGTACCTAGAGTGCTAGAGTACCTCAGAGGGAGTGAGTGCGTGAGTACCTAGTGAGCTAGAGTACCTCAGTGGGAGTGAGTGCATCATATGGCTTGGAATCCCGCGCATCCACCACCCCCACGCCTGATATCTTGTGCACCCCGCTAGCTAGAGCCACCATGGACTGCGAGGAGAGAGCCGAGTGAGTAGAGTAGATTCATGGCACACGTGAGGGAACACGTGTGGAGATGAGACGGAGGCAGCGAGAGCAGGGCTTGAATGGGACAGAGGAACGACGACGGGCTGAGAGGATGAGGTAAGGAGGCGTTGAAAAGAGGACGAGGCAGGATCGATGCAGAACGGCCCAGACAGGAAAGCAGGGGAGGGACAGAAAAGACGATCCCAGGATGAGGCTGTGATGCAAGCATGGCAGAGCATGGCAGAGCGTGGCAGAGCATGGCAGGGCATCGTGGGCGGAAAGAGCACATGGGAGACAACACTGGGTGCAAGCGGAATGGTAGGGCTGTGGTGTCTCACCAGATTGAAATCGGCAGAAGAGTTTGAAGCGATGCTCACGATGGTCTGATGGGGGGAGCAGAGGATGCAAAGAGAAGGGGGGGGGAGAGAGGGGGGAGGTTGGAAATGGTGTGAAATTCCCATGTGTTCAACTATTTATAGCTCAGCCATCCTTGATGCACCATGCAGGATTAAAGAACACACAACCATTGTCTCACGGCCTTCAACCTGTCACAGTGAAAGAACATTTCACACGCACACAGCCCCCCTTTCCCTTCCCTGATCCGTCTTTTGACTCAATGGGCGTTGCAATTGGCTTGCCCTAAACCATCTTGAACTAGGAAGGACGACGGGTGGTGGGCGGGTCATCTTAAGGCAAAATTTCAATGATGGTACTGAAAGTACGCGCCGGTTGCTTTTAGCTAAGTCTCTTGATACACACGTGCGTGCGCCACACTCACTATGCTCCACCGCACTGAACCTTGCCATGGTCCAAGTCCCACCCTCACCCTACTCCCCCGCACAACACCTCACCATGCTGCACCACACTGCACTCACCGTGCTCCACCGCACTACACCTCACCATGGTCCAGGGGCCGCTGACAACGATCGCTCTGGGGGTGCTGCCAGTGACAGGCTCGTCCCGGGCAATGACTATGCGCAGTGGGCCCAGGGGACGGTCGCTGTTGTTGTGCACCCGGCAGTGCACCTGGGGGAGGGAGGAGGGAGGAAAAGGGGGGAGGGGAAGGCACCCATGGTTGGGAAGTGGTGTGGTGTGAGGATGTGTTCGAATCCAAACCCGAGCTGGTAAGGCAGACGCAGTGGGACTTGACTGCAAGTGACTGACGAACTATGGGAAAGATGGACTTGGCGGAATTGGACTGAGACAATAGATGGACACAGTAGGAAGCAGCGCGATGGGTACGCGGACTGTGATGAAGGGCAGTAGTGACCAAACAAAAATGACAGACGTGCGGGGACGGAACAGACGGAAAGAGGCAAGGCAAGGCAGGGCAGGGCAGGTGAAGGCAAGGGAAGGCAAGGGAAGGCAAGGGAAGTCAAGGGAAGGCAAGAGAGGATAGGCGGGGGAAAGCTGAAGAAGGGGGGCAGCAGCAAGGTGCGTTCCGTACGAGGAAGGGTCGCTCGAGCACGATTCTGTTGGGCAGGCTGACTAGCTTCAGCTCCACCTCCTTGCGCGCTATGGGCTGCCCGGGAAGAGGGAATGGGAATAGGAATGGGAATGGGAATGGGGATGGGGATGGGGATGGGGATGGGGATGGAGATGGGGATGGGGAACGCATATGGACGAACAAGTGTAGTGGGAGCAATAACAAAAAGAAAGAACAGAGTACAGAACAGAAGAGCAGCGAGGAGTCAGTTAGGGCAACAGATAGCCTGTTGAATTGAAGGCCCCTCGTTTCCCACTCACTTTGCACTGCAACAGTACCTGCCTCCCACACAACCCCCACCACTCCAACTCCCCCTTCCCAAATTCCCTCCCACCCCGGCCCTCTCTCGCTCACCCCCTCTCCCCGTACGACACCCACCAGCTCACACGCCCCCCCACCAACCGCAACCGCGGCCCCAGCCGCAACTATCTCTACTGCCACGCACACCCACACCCACACCCACATGCACACCCACACCCACACCCACACCCACACACACACACACACCCACACGCACACCCACACCCACACCCACACACACACACACACCCACACGCACACCCACACCCACACCCACCCGCACAACCACACCCACACCCACGTGCACACCCACACCCACACCCACACCCACACCCACACCCACACCCACACACGCGCCCCCCAAATCCGGAACCATCTCCCCTTACATTGCCCAGTATCTGCTGCGTCTGCAGTCGCCCCGGCTCCCCCAGTGTGGACCGCCACAGTATTTCCAGCCGCCCAAGCGTGTTCCCCCCCTCCACCTTCGCCCCTCCCCCACCCCCGCTCTCCCCCGCCCCCCCTCCCCCAGCGCCCGCAGGGGGCGGGGGCGTTCTGTGGAGGTGGTAGAGGAAGTGGCGCGTGCCACCGTTGGCCCGGATCAGATCCACTGGCTTGAAGAGGGCCCTGCAGATTGGACAGGGGGGAGGGAAGATGGAGCCCTTTTCTGGGAGCATGGACATTTGGAAGGGAGGGAGGAGTCCTGTGGAGGTGGTAGAGGAAGGAAGTGGTGCGTGCGTGCCGCTGGGATTTGGAAAGGGGGACACGGATTACGGAGCATAGCTGTATAGGAACGGGGTAGTGGAGAGGGAAGGGGGGGGAGGGGGGGGAGAGGAATCCTGTGCAGGAGGTGGAAGCCGGAAGTGGCGCGTGCCGCCGTTGTCCCAAATCCAGTCTTCTGGCTTGAAGAGAGGGCCCTGAGCGTGGTGTGTGGAGGGGGGATGCGGAACAGGGAGGGAGCAGCAGGGAGAGACGGACAGGGCATTGGGGAACAGAGGTGGTTGAGGGAGTGGCGCGCGCGCGCGCGCGCGTGCTGCCATGCTATGCCATTAGCCTGCTGGATCAGATCTACGGGCTTGAAGAGGGCCGTGACCTGTGAGGTGCAAGGGAAGGGGGGAAAGGGCTTGAAGGGGCCCTGAGAAAAGGAGCACGGGAAGTAGGGTCGACGGAAGGGGGAACGGAAAGTGGGGAGAAAAGACAAACACCTACTGGTACGAAACGAATGCCCTTACTCTCCCCTCCCCCTCACCCTTTCCCCACTTTCCCATCCTTATCTCCCCTCTCTAACCCCTCGCCCTCACCTGACTTCACTCCACGCCACTCCTGCAAGTGTGTCGTCCGCCTCATCCGCCACTGCGGCCCCTCCCCACTCCTCCCGCGCCCCCTCTTCCGCGTCCTCCTCTTCCTCCTCCTCTTTGCCCGTGAACTCCGGCTCCAACTGGGACACCTGCACGCATGCACGCATGCACATGCATGTTGCAAGTGTCAAACACATGGAACCCATAGCAGCGGAAACGCAGGGACGATGATTGACGCCATGCCATGCCACGCAAGCGCATGCTAACACACAATTATGAGTCTCCGTGCATCAACACATATGCATCCCACCCCGACCTGCCCTGCCAGGCACACTGCTTTGTGCGTGAGCCGCCTGGAAAAAAACAGTCACCTAAGAACAGGTTACACACTTAACTGCCCGGCAGACGGCCAGGCAGACAGCTGCCTGGTTGAGTTGAGAGTAGAGCCGTCACACACCTGCCAGGCGGGCGTGGGCTCGAAGCGCACTTGGTCGAGGAACAGCGACGCCTTGCTGCCATTCTCTATGCACGCCTCCAGGAACGTGCTCTCGCGGATCGTGCGCACCTGCAGGGAGAAAAAGGGCGGGAGGGGGGTGGAGTGGAGGGGGATTGGGGGGGAGGACAGTTTGACATGTATAAGGTATGTGTGCACAATCTCTCCGTCCTCTGTGCACGCCTCCAGACACATGCTCTCGCGGATCGTGTGCACCTGCAGGGAGAAGGGGGGGAGGGGAGAGGAGGATTGATATCCGATGTTTGAGGTATGGACGAGACGGAGGGGTGGGGGATTGGGGTGGGGGATGAAGTGTATGGATGGATGGACAAGGCCAGCTGAGGGCAGAGTAGCAGAAAGGAAAGGAGGGAGGGCAAGAGAGGAGGATGCGGAAAAGACATAGAGGACGACGCAGCGAATGGCCGGGTAAGGCATAGGATAGGAGCAACCTGGCTCGAGAAAGGGGACGACGAAGTGTGTAACCACGAGAAACTAGTTACCACACAACCTTGTGACCATGCAGCCATGCCACCATGTCACCATGTCACCGTGTCGCCATGCAAGCAACCATGCGTGCATGCCCTGGTTTTGACGGACAGCGGGTTGGCAGCCGTGAACTTGAAGTACTGCGGCAAGGCCTTGCCACCATGCATCCACTCCACCCCCACTACGGCATGCACCTGTACTACCAGCATGCAGCCCTTCCACACCATGCCCCCATCCATCGCGTGCCTTGGTTTTGACGGACAGCGGGTTGGCAGCCATGAACTTGAAGTACTGCGGCAGCACCTTGTGCTCGCCAAAGTCGATGTAGTGCGCCGAACACACCAGCCTGCCATGCGGGAGGAGGTGCACGGGGGAGAGGGGAGAGGGGAGAGGGGAGAGGGGAGAGGGGAGAGGGGAGAGGGGAGAGGGGAGAGGGGAGAGGAGAGAGGGGAGAGGAGAGAGGAGAGAAATAGGAGAGGAGAGAGGGGCATATGCGGGTGGGTAGGGGCATGCAGCATGGAAATCCCGTGACATGCCATGCCATGTTACATAGTATGGGTATGGCCCATCCCTCACATGTCTGCGGGAAGCTTTCACCATGCCATGCATCCCAATGCCTCACGTGTGCTGCTATGTTATCCGGGCGTTTGCCCTGATTTGACTGAAATTATAGGGTAGTTTCTATGACGACCCTGAAAATATCAGGGTCCTTTTCGTCCCAGCCCTGAGGAATTCAGGGGGGAAGTTTTCGGGACCCTGAACCCAACGAGGACTTTTCTGCCGAACCCTGAGGCATCCGAGCAGTTTCAGGGGGTGCCTGGAGCCCGCCACACCCCCACTCCCCCTTTTCCCCCGTTTCCCGCCCCTCCCTCTCCGTCCTCCTGTTTTTCCTCGCTCACCAAGATTTCCGCCTCCCTAGATCTAGAAATTCCGACCCCACATCTAGATAAAACCGATCGCGCTCTCCCTGCCCTGTCTACCTACACCGAATGTGACTGGGGACTTAGCATCGATCTGCAACATCGTAGGCTTATATGGACCTCTGCAACTAGTTAGCTCACCTTGGATCCAGGCTGCTGCTTAGCGGAATGATGCTTAGCAGCCACAAATATACTTAACATCATAGACCAGGGCTGCCTTTTTCTAGCACCCACCTCCTCCTCGTTGCCCTGACTGCCTGTCTCTAACACGTACTCTGTGCTGAACAAATCAGGTTGTTAAGTGATTTCCAGCGCATCAGCGGGGCTACATAGCCAGCAGAGTGAAAATTTAGCCGGCCCTGATTTTTCCGAGACGTTTTTGCCACAGCCCTGAAAAATCAGGGAGGCACCACGTTTGACCCTGGCTTTCCAAGGAAAATTTGGAGGCCTCCCCACCCCAAACCATCCGGGCTGTCTCAAAACCTTAACATAAGCCCATGCACCATGCACCATGCACCATGCACCATGCCCATGCACCATGCCCATGCCTCACGTGTGCGACCCCAGCTCCTTGATGTCATGCTCGATGATGAAGTCGTGTCTGCCGCCTGCCTGAATGCGCTCCAGCGGGCTGCTCGTGTTATCTGCTAGCACCACGCGGTGCCGCTCCGTCTGTAGCTCCGCCTGGTGCCATGGGGGAGGTGGGAGGGGGAGGAGGAGGAGCAGGGTTGTGGGTGGGGTAGGTAGAGGATAGGTAGGCGGCATCACCACCAGCCTGCTCATCTAGGCAGATTCATCTAAGGCAGAATGGCATCGGCTCCTTGAATCTCTACGCATGCCCGCCACACCTGCGCTCTTCACCCTGGCAATCTCACCCCGTGCCGTTCCTCCCTCTCACACCCTGCCGGGTCCCCTACCGGACCGACCTCCTTCCCCCCCTCAATCGCCCCTCCTACTACCTTGATCACCACGTTGCTGACATGGCGGTCGCTGTGGTTACCAACGCTGATGTAACTGCAGAACGTCTCGCCCAGGTGTATAGACCTGCGTGCACCACGAGGGCAGGTGGCGGGAAGCAGAGCGTTGTTAGACCGGGGGGGGGTTTGGGGGGAGAGGAAGGAGGAAGGGCGGAAGCAGCAGCGGAGGCGAGATAGAGGGAAAGAGAGAAAGAAGAGATGAGGAGGAACACGAGTGTGCGTGTGTGCGGGGGGAAGGGAGGAGAAGGGGGGGGGGGGGAGAAGGGTGGGGTGGGGAAGGGGGTTATATGGAGAGGGGGTAAAAGAAGGTTACTGTGGGGACTGGCGCCTGCAGCAGTTGCATGGAAACGGCGGGGGAGCACAGCCTATGGTGGGGGAAGAACGGAGTGGTTTGTCGCGGGAATCCAAGTATTACCCAAACGACTGCGGCAACACGAGCATGCCTGACAGCCCCAGCGCGTCCAACGGCGACCTCAGCTCCACGCGGCTCGCGAAGTACTTGTCGCTGTCTGCCGCCGCCGTCGCCGCGCCCACCACACCCAATCCGCGCCCCGGGCCCCCATCACCTGCACTCGCGCGCGCCCCCGCAGTCCCGCCCAGCCCAGAGCCGCCCAGACCAGAGGCGGCGGTGCTGACGGCGTCGTCGGGGGGCGGGGGCGCGGAGGAGGCGAGCGGAGGGTCATCCTCCCCCAGCCAGAGGTCGTGCGCGGAGCAGCGCAGCGGAAGGTCCGCCTGCAGCGCGGGGCGGCACAGGCGCATCACGCGGAACGCCAACGCGTGCGCCGCGGGGTCCTTGGACATGGCTGCCAGCGGTTTGAGGTCAGGCGGTTGTCAGTGATAAGCGACAATCGAAGACAACGACTCGGAACGCGACTTAGGGCGTGCCGACGTGTAGTAACACTCTTACTGTAACATAGTGCAGGGAGCGAAAAAAGTCCGAAAATCTCTATGTATTTAGTGTTAGGATGTGTAAACAATCTCAAGGCTGCTTTGTGAGCGCCCCAAATCGGTTACGAGGATGTGAGCGAACGAAGGATGGGGCGAAAAACGTGTTTCCGTAACTGGAAGCAGCCAGAGCTGTTACACTTTCCTCCACCTTGTAAGGAAATTCCCTTTTCCTTACTGGGCTCAACTACACTGCGTATGCCCTCGACTCTCGGAAGTCCAGGCTCGGCCAACTTCTTCGGTCCCGAACCATTTCGTGAACCCAAACCTAGACGCGCGGCACTTCCGTGGCTTTCGCCAACCGGACTGCCCCAACCTATTCACGTGGTTCTCGGCTAGCTCTGTTCGTACCTATAAATGCCTAGGCCCTCATTTGTATCGACACTCTTGGATTACAACTCCTTTATTACACTACCTGTTATTACTCTGACCAATTCATAATAGCTGGTATCAGAGCCCCGTTCCTGCCCGCTTAGTCTTCCGTAGAGTAATCCGTTTATATCGGGAGAGGACCCGACTGAATAGAGGGTTGGCCAGCGGTTGGTAGGCGAGCTTGTTAAAGCTCCTCCAACTAGAAGCGTGTGCACCCTCAGATCTGTCAGGTAAAATTTCCAGCATACCTGCCACGCCGGAAACCTCTGCCCGTCATAGTATTAGGAACGTGGCCCAAGAGTTGCAAGCCAGGGCGGCTACAGTGACGACACTACAGGCTCAGCTTCAACAACCCGCCGATAAGTTCGAGTCGCTGGGAAGCGAAGTGCAAACGATGCGCAACGAAAACTCGTCGCTTCGCTGCGGAGTAGCGCGGAGGGCAATGGCGAAACTGTGAACGAGTGAATGACAATAAAATGAAAGACAATACAATATATAGAATATCAGAAAGAAAATGATTGAACTAGAATGTGTGTGTACATGAATATATAGACTAGGGTGTTGTACCCTCTAAGGCACAATCCAGTATAGTCTACAGTAACAACCTACGTTACATTTGACACACCCCCTAGACTATATCGAGGCAGTGCCTAACAAGGGAAGAAGCAGCTCAGGGCGGCACTACTAGTCCAGCCTCTGAGACAAGGGTCTAAGACGCATGGTGAAACGCGTCAGGGGCATCCTGTTTCCCAAGACGAAGATGCTGCGTGCGAAACAAGGGCGTCGGTGACACCTGAAGCAATTGAAGAAGTCCACATTGAACCGCCGGTGACCATTAAAATCAAACCACCAATGCCTCCGCCGTTCAACCCGACCGACAGGACAACAACAGTGCGCGGGTGGCTGTTCGCCATGGAAATCTTCTTCACGGAAGCAATTATTAATGATAACGCATCACGTGTCAACTTGGTTGTGTCGTTGCTGAAGGGACCGGCACTCGATTGGTGGCGCATGCATCTTGACGAGGGAGGAGCCCCGATAGGGAATCAACGGGCGGTAGATGGGAAGTTGAGTTTATCAACGGCGAAGGCAGAACCGATCTTTGGGTCGGCCACGATCCGCACATGGAAAGCGTGGGGCGAAGCGTTGAAGGGCAGATTCGAACACATATTTATGCGCGAAAATGCTCGCACAAAGCTTCGGATGTGGAGACACTTGGGCTCTGTCCAAGAATACACGCCGTTGTTTCTGGCAATCTGCGACCAAATCGGAGGGCTTAGCGAAGACGAGCGCATCGATCGCTACGTGGGTGGTCTCAAGCCAGAGATTCAGCAAGAGATCATTCTGCGAGCCCCGACGACCTTCAACGAAATAGTTCGCATAGCAGATGCGCGGGACGCACGACGTGGACTCGCGAGAGCGGGTTTCCGGGAGGGAAATCGCTTTCGAGGCCAGCCCCAACACACATCAATCAACGGCGTGGACGTGTTTGCAGCCCGAGTATTTTCGGGAACCTGCTTCCACTGCAACCAGCCGGGTCACATGGTGAGGGACTGCCCACAGCTGAAGAAGAACTTACCTAACGACAAGAAGCAGTCAGGAAATGGAGACCGTCTGTAGCAGATGGGCCACCTACTGACTTGACTGCGTCGCCCAAAAGCCACCACCCACACCATGTTATAGTACCAATTTGGGCTATCGACCATTCCTAGCTGAATAAATGGGGGTGAACCGATTGATCGCCCTGTGCTGGTTGAAGGGAGAGTTGGCGACACCCGCATCAAAATATTCGTTGATGGTAGGGCAAGCCACAGTTTGATGGATGTAACGAAGGCGAAAAAATTGCAATTGCAGTTGGAGCGCTGCATGCCCGAAATCGATGCGAGATTGGTTGACGGCACACCACTAGCAATTCGAGAGCGAGTACCTTACGTGCGAGTAACATGCGGCGAAAATTTCAGTTTCACGACGAATATGCTGGCGACAACTTTGGACGGCTGAGACATGATGCTGGGACGCGATTGGCTGCGCGAATACAACCCGAGCATCGACTAGCGGACGGGCGACTGTCGCATTAAATGGAGTGGCGATTGGTGACGACTATCCAAGTGGAGCTGTCAAGATTCAACCACATCGATGGTGAGCGCAGTGACGATTAAGCGAGCTATGATTCGAGGGGCGCAATTGTACGCCGTCCGACGGATCGCCTCAATGGCCGTCGACACGCTGACCGACATCGACAAACTTTGCGCAGCTGTCCCGGATGACTTGGCGATGGTGATTCGGAAACACGCCGACATTTTTTCACACGACCTACGGGCGGGTTTGTCACCTGAGCGAGACCACGACCACAAAATCAAGCTAGAGTCCGGCGCGCAGCCCACTGTTCGGACTCAATGGTGGCTGACTTAGCCCGAGCTGGATGAACTTCGACGCCAGCTAGACTACCTGCTCGAGAAAGGTTTCGTTCGCCCCAGCACTTCACCGTTTGCAGCTCCGATCCTATTCACCCCGAAGAAGGATGGCGGTCTACAAATGTGTATTGACTACCACGCCTTGAACCGGGTTACCATCTAATCTTGCTATCATAGCCCGCAAGCTGACGAAGTCATCGATCAACTTCGCGGAGCCAAATTCTTCTCGAAAATTTACCTGCGCAGCGGTTATCACTAAATCCGCGTGCACGAAGCTGACTGCTACAAAACGGTGTTTCGGACCCATACAAAACGGTGTTTCTGACCCGGTACGGGAGCTACGAGTATACGGTTATGCCTTTTGGCTTAACAAACGCGCCTTCGACGTTACAGTTAACCATGAACGAAGTTTTTCGACCGCTGCTGGATAAATGCGTCATCGTGTACCTCGACGACATCTGCATCTATTGCACTACCCGGACGCAGCATTTGAAGGATTTGGAAGCAGTTTTCTCTCTCTTGCAGCAACAGTAACTTATCACGAAGGGCTCTAAGTGCGAGTTTCTCAAACACGAACTGGGGTTTTTGGGACACGTCATTTCCATCGACGGAGTTAAAATCGACCAGAAAATCGCAACGATACAAGACTGGAAGCCGCCGGTTAATCTCCGTGAACTTCAGAGTTTTATGGGATTCGTAAACTATGTCCGCCATTTCATTCCGAACATGGCGGGGGTAACTTCTCCTCTCACGGATCTCTTGAAGAAGGGCAAGTTTTATGAGTGGGGGGGAGAGCAGCAGGCTGCGTTCGAACAGCTCAAACTTTTCCTAACTACACGTCCGGTACTTTGGATTGCAGATCCTCACTGTCCGTTCGAGCTCATCACCGACGCTAACGATTTGGCCGTTGACGCAGTCCTGTCACAAGACTTTGGCGAAGGTCTCCAACCCATCGCCTACAAGACACAAAATTTGAACCCGACCGCGCGAAATTATTGTGTCCACGACAAGGAGTTACTCGTCATCGTTCACGCTTTCGAAGTCTGGCGCTGCTACCTGGCGGGCGCTGACATGACAGTCCGAACATACCATAAATCGTTACAGTTCATCCGCACCCAACCGAGACTGAATCCCCGACAGATTCGCTGGCTTGATTACCTCGAGTCAAACTTCCACTACAGAGTCACCTACAAACGGGGGGTTAGCAATATCACCGACGCACTGACCTGCCCTTCAGTCCACACCGCCGTAGTCCTAATTACTCAAGCTAATCCGCTGTTAACTGGCCTATTCACCCATGGATAGAGTACAGACCCATTCTTCACCACTAACAGTCATCCCCAACCGACGGTCAAGCAAGGGGCCTATTACATAAAATCCGATACCAATCGGATTTGGGTTCCCGCCTACAGTACCCTACGAGAACTACTGATACATGGGGCACATGATTCGGATTTCTCGGGTCACTACGAGATCGACAAAACCGCCAAATTACCGAGCCGTAATTTTTACTTGCCCGATTTGCTGACAGACGTGCAACGGTACATCACCTTCTACGCCACGTGTCAACGCATGAAGTCGTTCCGGCTTGGACCTGCGGGATTGCTGCAGCCACTCGAGCCACCCAGCTGACCCTGGCAACAAGTGACCATGGATTTCGTCACTAGCTTGCCAGCCGGTCCAAGCGGTAACGACTCGATTCTCGTCGCCGTTGATCGGTTGACCAAGATGGCCCACTTCGCCGCTTGCAAGACGGCAATTACTGCCGAGTAGACAGCGAAACTGTTCCTCATGAATATCGTGCGGCTACTTGGCATACCTTTGGCAATCATCAGCGATCGTGACCCACGGATCACGCCCAACTTCTAGACAAAAACCTGGCAACAGTATGGCACACGTCTGCATCTGTCCACAGCGTACCACCCGCAATCAGACGGCCAGACTGAACGCACCACACGACGTGCACAGACCCGGCACAATGGGAGGACGCCCTTCCCTTGATCGAGTTTGCGTACAACAACGCCCCATCGGCCACGACTACTCAGTCCCCGTTCTTCCTTAATTACGGGATAGATCCGACAACCCCTCTATCGCCCTCGATAGAAAACCCAGCACCAAGATCTTAGCAGCTCGTTGAAAATCTCCGACACTCTCAGCAAAAAGCCGTCGATGCCTCCCTCAAAGCCAACCAACGGGCTAACCCAGTACCAGAGCCAAGGATCGAGCTATCCAAGATTCTCACTCATCGCGTACGAGACAGCCGTTGATTTCCTTGTACGATGGGTCGATCGCACGACCGACGACGATCGATGGGTCCCCGCAGCTATGCTCGGCGAACACGAAGTCGTCCGGGACTATTTACACTGACAACGTGTCCCGGATGTGGGTAGTCTCATCCCGGAAGGTAGCTCTGTTCGTGCCTGTAAATGCCTAGGCCCTCATTTGTAGCGACACTCTTGGAACAAGACTCCTTTATTACACTACCTGTTATTAGTCTGATTAATTCATGACACACCATCCTCTAGATTCCACCCAACCCAAGCATCAAGCAAGGGGGATGTTTCCATGAGGTTCGCCCCAAGCAGTTAGCTCGGCGTGTGGAACTCTACAGCTGAGGGGGAGGGCTTCGGGGTCGGCGCTTCACGGAGTTACCAGTAGGGTTCCAAGCGTGGGGGCTATTCGTGCTGCGAATCGGCTCAAGCATTTGTATTTCGGGAAAGATGCTCTAAAGTTTCCAGGTACCTATGGGACTACCCTGTGAACCAATGTTCTGGATCAACTTTGGCATTCGTGTTCGAGTTGTCTCGAGAGCATCACTTTTACAAGCATTACTTTTACAAGTACGTACCATCACACAAAGTGAACGAGGGTAGAAATAATTTCTACTGTGAGGGCAGCTGAGGGCGACTTCACGAACCTTGGGGTTCACAAACAGCCGAGGGCAGTTGCACTCTGCTCACCTTGATGCTACCGCGCCTCGGTCTTTTTTTCCTTCCAAGAAACGTTTTATAGTGTATCTCCTAGGTAGAGGCGTGTTTCCAGTTGTTTGCCATATCTTAGCAAGGTGCCCATTCGGCAGCGCGAAACTGTAACCGGGTGGAGAGAGATTGTACCGCAGTTCCGCAGCCCATTTCCATTTATACACTAATAAATTACGAAATTCGGCATCACCTACACCACAGCACATGGCGCACTGTTGACAGGCCACGATTACACTGCTGTCCTTCCTTTCTACACCATGCTCACCTCACCTCTAGCTCACCAGCGCGTGAATCTGGCCGTCTATTCTTCTCCCAATCAGTCCCCATAACCCAATGCCAACCAAACCAATCTCGAGAAAGGAAGCGCCCTCCCACCACCACCCCTTCCTCCGTCCTCCTCACTCACCATTCCAGACAAGCACCTGTCACTCACCTGTTCCCTTCACTTCTCCAAGCAGGGGAGCAGGTGTGGGACAAGCTTCACTACTCCTAGGCTGTCAGTCAGACGAGCTGCATGTGCTGCACGCTTTTCTCACTCACACCCACCTACGCCGCTTCCTTCGTACCTGCTGATTTTCCTTGTGAAACGCCAGAGGCACCTCACGTAGCGCAGCTCTGTTCGTCCCGCCATGGACCGCTTTCTTTCGACCAATGAGCGGTCCAACTACCCGCCAACCGGCGACCGGCCGTTACACGTGCTGTCGGACGACTCTTCCACGTCAACCACGCCTTTCGCCAACGACGACCGCCTCGGCTCCTTCGCTTCCTCCACCTCCTTCCGCGATAACCACAACTCGTCGCTTCGTGGCTCCTTCGCCGATTCCTCCGCTCAATTACTGCCTATGGCGGCACCTCCTACCGAGCCGCCGCCATCCTTCGCCGCGCGGAAAGAAGCCGAGACGCGGAAAGGAAGCAAGCCGTCGGGTAATCTCTCTGCAGTAGCCGAGCGGAGCGACAGCCACGGGACATGCAATAGCGGGGACGACGAGGGCGGCGGCGAGCACAATGACACTAAGAGCCGGTCGACGTGTCAATGCGTGTGCATCGCGCGGAAGGGCCCGCCTTGGTGCAACGGGCTGGTCGTTCTCCCGTTCTACCTCCCCCAGGAATGGCGCGAGCCCATGGCGAAAGCCGCGGAGGCCCTTAGGCACCCCATCGCCATCGCGACGCTGGTGATGATCGGCATGCTCACCGTCTCCGGCGCGCTGCTCTTCTTCACTCTCACCGGCATGTGGAAGGCTTTCGGCGGGACGGAGGAGAAGCTGTGGTTCGAGTTCTCGAATCAGGTTCTTAACGGCGTGTGCACGCTTAGTTGCCTCGTCATGCATCCGCTCCGGTGTTACTACGTCGTGCGGTTGATTCGCTGGAGCCCCATCGACGTCGCCAGCCTTCGTGCGCTGCTGTCGGCGGCGGGCGCGTTCGTCGCGAAGCCGAACGAGCGGCGACACATGGCCGTCGTGCTGACGCTGCTGCAACTCAACTGCATCTTCCAATACGCGATAGAGGTCATTCTCTGGACAATCCCCGAGCCGCAGCGACCCGTACCCCTTATAGCCTTCCTCGTTTGTATCGCTCTCGGCTCGCCGTTCACAGCAGGCTTGTACTGCATCTTCAGCCCTCTAGGATGGGCCACGGCTGACCCGCCCGTTCGGAAGAGCTTTAGAAGCTTCGGGAGGAGTAGCGCGGGGTCGCAGAAGTCCGTGAGCGAGTCGCAGAGATCCGCAGGCGAATCGCAGGGAGCGAAAGCGACGCCGTGCCCGCTGTGCGACGGGGTGTTAGCAGGCGAGGGGAAGATGGAGGTCGTGGTGGTGGCGGAAGGACAGGCGCACGGGGACGCGGGGAAGCAGCGCACGGGGGTGGTGCGCGGGGAGGAGCAGCAGTGCGCGGTAACGGAGGAGCTGCCACTGGCGGAAGGCGGAAAGCTGCCCGCGCGGAGGCGGTTTGGGGAATACGAGGAGATAGTGGCGCAAGAGGGGGAGAGGACGCTTCAGGAGCCGAAGCAGTGGCGGATCCCGGTGTGGCGGCCGGACGGGGAGAGGCGTGAATGGCAGGGGTCGGTGTTTGACTGCTGTACTGGCGGGTGGTGCAGTGCGGTCAGCGCCACGCTCTGCTGCTTCTGCGTGCACGCGCGGCACGTGGAGCGAGCTGGGTTCGGCAACTGGATCGTTCACACCGCCATGTTCATCTTCTTTCTCTTCGGCCCGATCGTGATCTTCACTATGGGTGCTCGCAACACCCCGAACGGCGTCATGCAGTGGTTCGTGTTCAGCCTGGGCGTGCTGGGGAGCGTTCTCGGGGCGACGTACGGCGGGTACTGGCGGTGGAAGGTGCGGCGGACGTTCCTGCTGCCAGAGCAGGAGTGGTGCTGCGGGCACAAGGCGCTGACGGACTTTGCGGCGTGGTACGTGCTGCCCTGCTGCTCGCTGTGCCAAGAGATGCGCACCGTGCGCCACTACAGCCTCCACATGCTCGTACACCTGCCGGACCAGGGGGGGGAGGAGAGAGGGACGGGGGGGCAGGGGCAGGGGCAGGGGAAGGAGAGCAAGGTAGAAGGGGCGGTGAATGGGTGCCAAGGGTGCAGAGCAGGGAAGGCGATGGAAGGAGGTGCCAGGGAGGCAGCCATGCTAGCACCGGTGTGTGTGACCATGGAGGAAGGCGGGATGCGATGAGAGAGGGGATGGGAGGAGGTGGGACTAAGGGTGGATAGGGGTGGAGGAAGAAACCTTGATGTGAATATTTTCTGTACCATTCATTTCTTTGAGGTTGTGGGGTGATTGCTACATCTCTAGGTTACCTTCTAACTGCATTTTCTGTTCATGACCTTGTGTGGTTCTGGAGATGGTCTGTAGGGTGTACAGCATTTCCGTTAGCTTAGTACTACACTGAATACTAATTTACAAGAACATTATTGTTACTAATCCAGTGTTACAATGTATTTCACATTGAACGAAGTGGCAAGTGTGCCATCCAGCGCCTTCACGAGAATCTGCCCTGAGGCGCCCCTTAGCCTGCCTGTGCCTCCTGTTATAGCATAGAAGAAGGCTTTGTCCGATAAAGCATAGCCGCCTGGAAGTTAGGGTGGGAGGGGCAAGAGTAGAGGGGGAGAGTATGTGACATGAGCAGGAATAGAAGGCGCAGAAGGAATGGCTCAGGGGGAAGGACACGTGCCCGCACACTTCCCATGCCCGCACTTTCATGCGCGCGTGCCCGCATGCATACACGCGTGCCCGCATGCATACACGCGTGCCGCATGCATACATGCATGCATGCATTGGGGCACAGTGTACATACCTGTGCCAACGAGGCTGCCGTATTTATTGATGTTGATGAGTGTAGTGCACTGCATGTAGAAGCGCGGAAGGACCATGCACTCGCCTGTATCCGTGCCAACCTGCATACATGTTGCCCACACACGCACATGCACATATGCTTGCACACAAGCACATGCACATACATGTTGCCCAAACATGCAAAAAAGAGGCACTCCAAAAGAATGAGACGCCTCCAGCCAGCCAAAGGCATAACTGAAGCATGCGCAGGAACCAGCCATGGCTGCTGAGACTGTGTGCCTGTGCGCATCCAGGAAACCCTCCCCCAGCGCTGCTGTTCCCCAGCCCCGATCCGCCCTCTCCCTCTCTCAAGCGCACCTGCGTGCTTTTGCCATGCGCCTTGGCCACTATGCTCCCCGCCCAGTAGAATGTGTCACCCGCGCGGGGCATGCCCTTGCCATTGTGTAGCACCTGACAGCCGGACGACGGGGACGGGGGAAAGGGGGAAGGGAGAAGGTGAAGAGTGAAGGGCGATTGGATAGGGAGACGGGGGAGGGGAGGTAGGTTGAGGGGACGGCAAGGAGGCTTAAATGAAGGCAGACAGTGGGAAACGGTTAAAGAGGATGGGGCAGAAGTGCCCAGATCTCAGTGGGGGAACGCGGTAAGACGTAGAGAGATGGAGAGAAATGGAGAAATGTAGAGAGATGGGAGAATGGCAGATAGTAGCCATGGTGGTGCAGCCATGCGCGTAGTAGTCCTTGCTTCTGAGTCAGGGAAACACCCATTGGCGGTTGCTTGCTACGCACCTGCGCATCTACCTATGGCCCCTGCTGCTCGCCTCTCGGTATTATCACGTCTATACACGATACACGTCTATAAACGTCTATACATGTCTATACACGTCCGTACACGTCTCCCGACGCGCACTCCACGCCAGCATGTAACCCGTGGCGCACTTCGCGCATCATTACATACCATGCCCGAGTTGTTCTTCGCGCCCTCCTCGTACCATATCCACGTGCGCGTGCCCCTCGCCGCCGCCGCCGCTGCCACCGCGGCCGCTGGCACGCGCGGCACCGCTGCTCATGCGGGATGCAAGAAGGGGGAGGGAAGAGAAGGGGATGTTTAGTGAGGAAGGCTTCTCCCCCCGACTATTACTGCTAATAATGGACAGGGGCAGGGAAGAGAGCACGATGGGGAACCCGCTAGTCTCGTCTCGACTTGGCAGTGGTTGAGCATGTCAAAACGGTTCTGAACAGTCGACGTCGAGTGCGGGAACGACTTTCTATTCAACTCAAATGGTCAAAAGTCATCGCCAGTCTCCCGTCGGTTCTAGGCGGCGAGCAGCCCGCAAAGCGCTCAGGCCCCGGATCAAAGCGCGGTAAGGCGGGAGTCGGGTGCGCCGCTTCAATGCGGGGCTATTTTCAAGGCGCCGCAAAATAGACAAAGCGCAGTAAGGGGGGAGTTGGGGGGTGGCCATCTCAGCGCGCCGCTTCAATGTGGATGGCCTGGGCTTCGCCGCGACCGTTGTGCCGCCGCGCTGCTTGACACGGGATTGAGAGAAGGCCGAGTAGGCTGGCTGGTAGACCGGCTCGAGAGCAGACAAATGTTGCATGTCCGCCGGTGACTAGCGGGTTACCACATCCACGCGGGCGGGCTGCTGCGTACCTTGAGCTGGTTCGAGGAAGATGCCGATGAACGAGGTCACTGCGAGGGCGAGACGCGCCAATGGGGGAAGATTCGCCATTTTACGGGCTACGATTTCGTGGCTTCACGGTACTGTAGTGGTTCAAAAATCAGTGGCTCGGAACGGGATTCGTTGGAGCGACGAGTGAGGGAGAGACGCAACGGACTATTACTTGTGGTACTTCAGGTGGAAGTAAGAGAAGAGGTCGTTATTAAGGCTATCCTTGAAGGCTCCTAGTAGGAGTAACGATCAGTAAGGGGAGATGTCGTCGTGAGCTGAGACGCTAAGTAAGGACAGTGGTGCTTCGCTGCCGCGGTACACAAGATTTATTGCGTCTTTTCTCTAGACTTGTTTCCAGCCAGAGCGCCATGTGCGCCGAACGAGTTTTTTCAGGAGGCACAAGGTACATGTCATAACTGCAGTACACTGCCCGCCTTCCTCGTGCTTGCTCACTTGTGCTGCTGCTGCTGCTGGTGCTGCTGCTGGTGCTTGCTTGGCACTTCTGGCAGATGTTACTGCTGCTTGTGCGTGGTGTTGTGCTGTGCTGCGCTGGTGCTGCTAAACGGGCAATTCCGAATTCCTTCCTTTTCGGGAAAACAGCGCACTCTACACAATCTTCGACTTTATAAAAACGATTTATCCCTTCACGACGCGTTGCATTGGTTACCCGATTTGCCTTAATTGAACAGCCGCATCGCTTATCAAGTGTTCTTTTTTTTTTTTTTTTTTTTTTTTGGCTTCATCAGCATGTCGTCAACATTTTACCAAGAAGAGAGTTTACCTCCCAGGCAGGGGAGTATCCGGTCTATATATACGGACAGTAATTTTGGGCGCGAAAAAAAAAAAAAAAAAAAACCATACGGGGCCGGCATGCCATTCGGGATGGCATCAACCCTAAACTCGCAAAAAGGGCCGCGAGTTTAGGGTTGATACCATCCCAAATGGCATGCGCGGCCCATAAGGGTTTTGATTTTTCTTGCCAGCTAGCCCAAAAAAGCTACACTCACGTCTACAGAAAACTTGCGAAGCGAGCGGCTGTCCAATTAAGGCGAAACTAGTTACCACTGCAGCGCGGCGTGACGGAGTAACAAAGTTAAGTCAGATTAAAGATTCCGCAAATCTCGCTTTTGTCTCTTGCTTTTTGCAAACCCAACCACCCCCAAAGCGCGCTTCCACTGTCGCCTTGGCATGTAATGAACGGAGTGAAGCCCCGTACGACAGGCAGCGCGATAAGCGGGGAGTTACAGCTCGTCGAAATATCGCGTTCCAATGCTGAGCTGTATTCCCCTGAACCGTACTTGTCTTTGAAATGAAACGGCAACTTGGCACAGCCATTCGCGGTTGGCGAATTAGGGGGGTAACCTTGTCGAGGTGTTTGATTTTGACAGCGAAGCGAAGAGAAACCACAAATTCTAGGTGGTGCTGGACAGGCTGCTCCAATCAGACAGCTCCCCATCACACCAAAGCAAAGCAGTCGTCAGTTTGGTTTGGATGCCACCGCGTTTCATTTCATGCCTTAAAGCCCGGGTCCCATATTACAAGACGCGAAAGCCAAGCGCGGCTCGGGATGGGGCTGTGATTTTCTGATTGGTTGCGAATTTGGCGAGCAGAAATGGGGTCAGACGACCATGCGCAAAAAAAAACAAGGCTCGACGCCCAAGCATCGGAAGGGTTGCGTAGTCTATAGATTTCCAATGTGTAGAATTTTAAGAATAATACAGTTGGTATGATGTTAAAATTTACATTTCATATTAAAGTTCATAATTGTGTAAGTTGTGAGGAATAAATTATTTGATTGGGAATCAAATTTTCTCGTAATAATATTATAAATAACTATATTTAAATAATGATATACATGATACTACAAAGAGTATATATGATTCTTTATGGTTTCGATGGGAGAAAATGTACAAATGTAATTTATATGGTATTACAATGAGCGCGTTGAGCACAATACATGCTTTTCACCTTTGTCTAGGTGACATCAAGGGTTTATTCATATAAATATATACTTATACTGATATAATATGGATATTAATCTAATGATATTCACATACTGGTTTTCTCATAATGATGGTTTTGACGTATGTATTATATTGACATGAATATACTTATATATTGATTAAATTAATTGAAGTATATACATGTAATGATATCATGCTTATATTCATATAATGATTTTGACATTCTTCTGTAGCCTCATCATTATAGCATTAGGCTGTAACACGCTGGATTTGGCATCCAAGCACGTGACGAAGCCGAAACTACGCAAGAAACCTGCTTGTTCCTGTTCAATGAATTATTGACGAAACATTCTGAAGCCTAATCATTACGGGGTGAGGTACCTCAAGTATCGCATGTGGTGTCAGAAGCTTGTACCAGCTTGAAGTCGAAACCGGCAACTACAGTAACTGAGAAACCTGACTACAGTACCTCGTGTTCTGTACACTACAAACAACAAAACGCGCATCGGGATGGGGTTTACGTTTCTTGCTTCGTCGTTCCTGAGCGTTTCTCCCTTCCTCCTCCCAACGCGTTTTTTTGTTTCCTGCTCCTCGTGCGTTTCTCGTTCAGAAATTCATTCATCTAGCTTTTCAGCTTTCCTCACATTCCTTCTCAAAAGCTTTCCAGACTTTCAAGTTTCCATCAGCTTATTTACCTGGTAAGTGTAGAACCGCTAGGCGCGTTTCCTTAGAGCTGGCGCTGGCGCTGGCTCTAGCGCTAAGCATTTGGCGCTGGTGCTGGCGCTGGTCGCACTGGCGCTGGCGATTTGGCGCCAGGCGCTGGCGTTTTGGCGCTGGCGCTGCCGCTGGCGCTGGCGTTTCGGCGCTGGCGCTGGCGCTTTGGCGCTGGCGCTGGCGCTGGCGCTGGCGCTGGAGCTGGCGCTTTGGCGCTGGCGCTTTGGCGCTGGCGCTGGCGCTGGCGCTTTGGCGCTGGCGCTGGCGCTGGCGCTGGCGCTTTGGCGCTGGCGCTGGCGCTTTGGCGCTGGCGCTGGCGCTGGCGCTTTGGCGCTGGCGCTGGCGCTGGCGCTTTGGCGCTGGCGCTGGCGCTGGCACTGGCGTTTCGGCGCTGGCATTTTGGCGCTGGCGATTCGGCGCTGGCGCTGGTGACTTGGCGCTGGTCCTGGCGCTGGCGCTGGTACTGGCACTGGCGAATAGGCGCTAGCACCGGCGCTGGCGCTGGCGAGGATTCGACGTCCCCCTCCTTTCCTCCCCCTTTGCCGTCCCCCCTCCGTTCCTACCCCCTTTGTCGTCCCCCCTCCGTTCCCCCCCCTTTCTCGTCCCCCCTCGGCCCCTCCCACTTTATCGTCCCCCTTCCGTTCCCCCTCCCCTTTCTCGTCCGCCTCCGTTCCCCCCCCCTTTG